TTCTCTACTCTGAAACCCCCAACATATTTGAGACCCCTGTGTTATCTTGAATCCCACTACTGCAGTAGTAGGGCAAAAGATTAATCCAAGCAGCAGGCAAAAAACATTGTCGATTTAACAGGCCGAGGCCAGTCCAGGAAGAAGGCATAAACGCGGTTGATAATCCAGATGGCAGGCAGAAGCATAGTCGATAAACAGGCTAAGGTCAGTTCCAATGGAAGGCAGAAATGTGGTTTAGAACCAGTTCAGATGGCAAGCAGAGGCATTGTCAGTAAACAGGCCAGGGTTAGTTAAGGCAGAGGCATGGTCAATCAAGGCAGCAGGCCAAAGATCAGCACAGATAATAAAAATGGGGAAATTGCAGGCTTTTAAAAATATGAGGAACTAACATTTTACTAACGTGCTATAACAAAAGAATCAGTCTCCGATGCATAGGCCTGATTGGGAGGGACACTGGGGACAATGAAAACTGATGTCTCTCCTAACTCCCCTTCTGTTGCATACCCTACATTTTTTTTGGCATCTTCTTCCTGTTTCTGATGGTGGAATGTTCTCAGGGAAATGGCGTTCATGAAGTCTGCTGATAGATTAGGTCAATGACAACATCTTCTATACATTTGAGGAAGGTGGTAGGTCTTTCCATTGACTTTTGATAGGTGATGAATGCCTTAAAAATGGCAATGTAGAAAAATTATATTGCAACTTTTTTGTACCAGAAGAGGGACTTCCTTGTTTATAAATAGGGCTGCAGCATCTGATCGTTTAAATCCACCTTCCTCCATGAATCGATTATAATTGTGGAAACACTCTGGCTTTCGGATGGGACCTTGTCTTCCATGAATTTCCACCATGAAGTCATTATGGATGGTGGACAAGGCCCAAAAACAATTTAAACTCCTTTACTGTTAGCCGTCTACACTCAAATGGACGGGCATAGCATGAATTGGGTTTGTCTGCAATATATTGTTGGGCAAACAGGTTAGTCTGATCCACAATAAATTGAAGGAAATTATCAGGGAAAAATAAATGTAAAAAATCAGTTGGGGAAAAATTTTCTGTGTTGGGCTGCATGCCTGGATGTGTGGTAAAAGGGTGGATTGTAGCTGATCCTGAGCTGAAAGGCAGCCACAAAGGGTTTGCCAGAGCGTCTGGGAAGTATGTTTGGGCCCTGAGTCTTGGGGTCTGGTGTGATATTCCAGTGCTGGTACTGGGCCTTTCATCCTGGGGTCTAGCTACATTGGCATTTGCTGATTGACAATTTGGGTGTAATGGCACTGGTACGCTGGCGCTGCTTGTGGTTGCCTGCTCTTCACAGAGTCTTATTCTTTTAGGAGGAACTGCTTCCTCTTCTGATTCGGTCACTGATCCACTGCTGTCTATTGGCTCGTATTCCGAATCGGAATCGGACACTGAGAGCTCCCCGCTGCTCTCATCCATCATCCATGAGGTACGTGATGGGCTGTATGACAGGTACATTGATGGGCTGTGCTGACAGGTACGTGATGGGCTGTGCTGACAGGTATGCTGACAGACTGGCGACAGGTACGCTGATGGACTGGTGACCAGTATTACGAACGCTGATGGACTGGCAACAGGTACGCTGATGGACTGGCAACAGCTACGCTGATGGACTCGCGACAGGTACGCTGATGGACTGGCGACAGGTACGCTGATGGGCTGGCGACAGGTATGCTGATAGGCTGGTGAGAGGTATGCTGATGGACTGGTGAGAGTTATGCTGATGGGCTGGCGACAGGTATGCTCGTGGGCTGGCGACAGGTACGCTGATGGGCTGGCGACAGGTACGCTGATGGGCTGGCGACAGGTACACTGATGGGCTGGCGACAGGTACACTAATTGGCTGGCGATAGGTACACACTGATGGGCTGGCAACAGGTACACTGATTGGCTGGTGATAGGTACACTGATTGCCTAGCGACAGGTACACTGATGGGCAGCTGTGACAGGTACACTGATGGGCTGGCGACAGGTACACTGATTGGCTGGGGATAGGTACACTGATTGGCTGGCGATAGGTACACTGATTGCCTGGCGACAGGTACACTGATGGGCAGCTGTGAAAGGTACACTAATGAGTAGCTGTGACAGGTACACTGATGGGCTGGCGACAGGTAGGTTGATGGGAAGCTGTGACAGGTACACTGATGGGCAGCTGTGACAGGTACACTGTTGGGCAGCCATGGCAGGCAATCAGGGCAGTGTGACAGGCAATCAGCAGTGTGGTGCACAGTAATGAATGCAGTAACTCCCTGTTCCCCTTCTCCTTCTCACACAGGTTTGCTTACACTTGTGATGGGCTGTGATAGGACACAGCCAATAACATGGTAAACAGCCAATTTCATTGGCTGTTTACCTGCATCAGTGAAGCGTTGTGTCCATAAGACACAGCAGGCGAAAGATCGTCGCGCTGCACGCCCCTCCCGGAGGATCAAGAGGCCCACCCAGCCATCATTTTACCATAGGCCAGGTGGGAACAGGTTAATATACCTAAAAAAACAAAGCTCAAGGATTGATTTCTGACTATGGATGCAAGCTTGTGTGGAGAATGCAGATTGCCTGGCTATGTAGGACTATAGGGGGACCCAAATCCTTAGCAACCACCAAGGGGGTAGTGCTGCACATATATAACTAGTTGCTTCTGACAATAGGGAGCAATATAGGCTGCCTGAACTCCAGTTAAGCAGGGATATTCTCTCTCTCATGCTTCAGAAGGTACGTAAGTTGCCTACACCTATAGCAAGGGCATTATTCCGCTTTCGTTAGAGCTGCACAGTTTTTTTTTTCTGACCAGACAGTAAGTATGATTTGGGAAAGAAAACAGAAACCCATACTTTTCTTTTAAATCTAATTGCAATGCCTTATATTATCTGCAGTCTATCAGCCTCCAGCTTCTCTGGGTTCAGATGCTCATCTTCCCTGCAAAGACCACTTTAACCCCTTAGCTCCGGTGCCCCTGGGCCCTTTAAGGGATTTCTGATGCTAGGAGGCAGGGCGGGGTTTATGATCTTGTGACTGCCATGATTTTTGCTGTCACAGTGGTCACATGATTGGAAAGCTCCTAATTTCAAGTAGTGATCAGGAGCTTTCCATTATTTGCCGGTAGCTGTGCCAGGAGAGCGTAGGACATGCGCTCTTGGTGCAGGTGGTTTTTCTTCTAATATGCATATATGCGGCCTCTCAGCAGTAAGGTCCACCTGCTGAGAGGCGCATATATGCGTGCGGCCAGCGTCAAGGAGTTAAATTGATTGTAAATGTTGGATATTTTCTTTTTTAAAACAACAAACTTGCCATACTTACCTGCTCTGTGTAATGGTTTTGCACAGAACAGCCCTGATTCAGCTCTTCTGGGCTCCTCACCCACGGCTCTTCTGGTGCCTCCTACCTTTAGAGTGACCCTATAGCAAACCGCAAAGTTTAGTATAGAGTGCCTTTATAGCAAAGTAAAAAATGTCTGCCTTTAGAATCACTTTAAATCATTTCCTTCCCCTGCCCAGGACTACAGATCCCATGAGGCATTGCTTCTCACACTGAAATCAGAATGCAATGCAAGATAATTCACTGGAATCAGCATGCAGTGTGAGATCATGCACTGGAATCAGTAAGCAGTGTGAGATCATGCACTGGAATCCGCATGCAGTGCAAGATCATGCACTGGAATCAGTGTGCAGTGCGAGATCTTGAACTGTAATCAGCGTGCAATCCGAGATCATACACTGAAACCATCATGCAATTCAAGATCATGCACTGGAATCAATGTACAGTGCGAGATCATTCACTGGAATCAGCGTGCAGTGCAAGATCATTCACTGGAATCAGCAAGCAGTGCAAGATCATGCACTGAAATCAGCAAGCCGTGCGAGACCATGCACTGAAATTAACATACAGTGTGAGATTATGCACTGAAATTGGCATGCAGTGCTAGATCATTCACTGGAATCAGTGTGCAGTGCGAAAGCATACACTGGAATTAGCATGCTGTGTGAAATCATGCACTGGAATCAGCATGCAGAGCGAGATCATGCACTGGAATCAGCGTGAAGTGCAAGATCATACACTGAAATCAGCATGAAGTGCGAGATCATACACTGAAATCAGCATGCAATGCTAGATCATGCACTGAAACCAGCGTGCATCCCCCATCACCTGTCATGATGGGGTTAAAATTACCCTTTATAGTACAAGAACAGCAGATAATCACTACTATAAGGGGTTAATTTAAACTGTGATAAAGTGAAAGTTTTATATATATATATATATATATATATATATATATATGTATATATATATTCAGTGTCTTGAAAAAGTATGCATACCCTTTGAAATTTTCAACATTTTGTCATCTTACAATCAAAAACGTAAATTTTATTTTATTGGGATTGTATGTGATAGACCAACACAAAGTGGTACATAATTGTGAAGTGGAAGGAAAATGATAAATGGTTTTCAAATTTTTTTTACAAATAAATATGTGAAAAGTGTGGTGTGCATTTGTATTCAGCCCTCTTTACTCTGATACCCCCAACTAAAATCTAGTGGAACCAATTGTCTTCAGAAGTCACCTATTTAGTAAATAGAGTCCATCGTGTGTAATTTAATTAATATAAATACAGCTGTTGAGTCCTGACTAGAGATGAGCGAATTATTCAAAAATTCGGTTCGGCTGATTCGCCGAATTCGCCGAATAAATTCGCTTCGAGCCGAATATATTCGCTGCGAATTTAACTTATAAAAAGGGTGTTTCTAGGCTTCAGAGAGCCTTTATATTAGTGCAGAACACTGTACCTTTAATTTAAATGCCCTTGGAGTCTGCTGGGGAAGAGAAATAATACTGTCAGTCAGTATGACATGCAGATGAGTGCCGTCGATCTTAGAATCACCGCACACTTCACTCATTTGGGCAGTCACGGGGCCAAAACCAGAGTGTGGAGCCACAGTGTGGCGGTGGAGGCAGCAGCAATGGGAGGCCATACAGCACCCTATGACAAAATGGAACCCACCAGCAGTGTGAGGAGACCTGAAAGTGGCACATGGCAGAGTGTGGCGATGGAGACAGCAGCAATGGGGGGCCGTACAGGGACCCATGACACACTCTGGACCTGGCAGCAGCATGAGGAGGCGGTACAGGGGCCCATGACAGATTACGGGCCTGGCAGCAGCATGAGGAGTCGGTACGGGGGCCCATGGCAGATTACGGGCCTGGCAGCAGCATAAGGAGGCGGTACAGGGGCCCATGGCAGAGTGGCGGAGCGTAAGCAGCTAAAATTGAAGGCCATACAGAGGCCTATGTTCAAAAGTCCCCCCAGCAGCAGCGTGGGGAGACGACTATCAAGAGTCCAATGCCAGAGTGGCGGAGCAGAAGCAGCTTCAATTGAAGGCCATACACAGGCCTAGGTTAAAAAGTCCCCCCAGCAGCAGCGTGGGGAGACGACTATCAAGAGTCCAATGGCAGAGTGGCGGAACGGAAGCAGCTTCAATTGAAGGCCATACACAGGCCTAGGTAAAAAAAGTCCCCCCAGCAGCAGTGTGGGGAGACGACTATCAAGAGTCCAATGGCTGAGTGGCGATCTGGGAAGTCAGCGTTGTGATTGCAGATGCAATGCAGAGATTCTATGAGGTGATGACGTGGGTGCGAAGAAGATCATATACCGTCGTACTTCCATCCATAAGACGGAACAACCTGCGAACCGGGAGCTTTATTGCCCTGACCCGCTGAGCAGCTTCTGGGATACCCAAGAGTTTGGCTTCTGTGGGGAATATGGTTGAAAACTGAAACTTAAAGGCATGTTGACGGAAGGGCACCAGTGTCAGTGCTCCGGAGGGAATATAGCTTCAAAGCTGACACTTAAAGGTATATCGACGGTCAGAGACCACAGGAAGTGGAGCTTGCGTCTTAAATCGACTGAATGTGGCAGACGTGAAATGTCTACGGGCCGTATATGAAACGGGTTGTTCCTCTTTCTGGAATAAGTGTTGGAAATGGCCACTCTTTTTGGTGTGGCGTTTTGTCTATTTAATTCCGATAACGGACTCTACTCCTCCGTGCAATCTATAGTTACGAGACCCTGGGCAGGTCTGGGTCCAATTTGTGGTAGAGACTGGTTTTGTTCAGCCATGCTTGAGCGAGTAATAACAGGTCTGTGCTGCCCTTTGGTGTCTGGCTTAATGCGCACAACACTGAACGTCCCAGCATTTGTCAACGATTTGCCGTTAAGTGATGCAAAACCCGCTGAACCACGTTCATGAGGAGCCGGTACAGGGGGCCATGAATCAGTATGGACCTGGCAGCAGTGTGAGGAGACCCGAAAGTGGCACATGGCGCAGGGTGGCGGTGGAGTCAGCAGCGTGAGCAGTGAGCAGAGGCACATGGCGAGGGTGGCGGTGGAGGTCAGCAGTATTCGGAAGCCAGACTAGTTTATTCGGAAGCCATACGACAGAGGCACAGGCCTAGGTTCGGAAAAAAGCGGCGGAAGCCATCAGCAGCGTGAGCAGACGACAGAGGCACATGGCGCAGGGTGGCGGTGGAGGCAGCAGTATTCGGAAGCCATACACAGGCCTAGGTTTAAAACTGGAACCCAGCAGCGTGAGCAGACGACAAAGACGCACATGGCAGAGGATGGATCTGGCAGCAGGCGGTACAGGGGCCCGTGGCAGTGTGGTGATGGGGGCTACAGCAACTGGATGCCAGAAAGTGGCCGATAGGGCTATATACTGCATGGAATTATAAAGTTGTGTAAAGACAGCGGCCTATAAGGCTATACACACTATAACAATCATGACTTGATTGACCATTGGCCTATAAGGCTATACACAGCATGAATATCATGACTTATTCTGAGAGTGGTTTGGAAGGCTATATACAAAAAGTAATTCATGAGCTGTCCGGACAGCGGACAATAAGTACATATATACAAATCAATTCATCAGCTGTCCAGCAGCGGCCTCAAAGGCGACACATATAGAAAGCAATTCATGAGCTGTTCAGACAGCGGCCTCTAAGGCGACAGATATACAAAGCAATTCCCGAGGTGTTCAGGGAGCGGCCTGAACGGCTAGGTTATTACTAAATATATTTTTGTGGCCAAACATCGGCCTATAAATAGATGTCTACACAGTGACAAAAAATTATGTCGCCAGACAGCGGCCCCTAAGGCGACAGATATACAAAGCAATTCCCGCGAGCGCACAGGGCCCACAGTGTCTGAGGATGGACGTTGGCGCAGAAAGGCAGAGACCAACTGACTACATAGGTGGTTTTTATAGTACTTTATTTTGGCCTCCCTCTCAGCAGGTGTGAAAAAGGCCACCATTTTTGAACGGTAGCGAGGGTCCAACAAGGTGGACAGCCAAAAGTCATCCCTCTGTCTGATGGTTATTATTCGGCTGTCGCTACGCAAGCAACCGAGCATGCTATGGGCCATTTGTGCCAAGGAATGCGAGGGACTCCCTGCCTCCATCTCCACAGCATACTGCCACGGTGCGTCTGGGTCCTCTGTCTCCTCCTCCTCCTCTACCAGATGCTCCTGCTCCTGCTCCTCCACTCCTGTCCGCTGAGTGGAAAAACCACCCATTTCACTCAATAATTCCTGAGCACCAATGTCCTCCTCTACCTCCTCCTCTTCTTCCTGTCCTGCCCCCACAGGGGTCATGTGGCGTTGAGATCTGTGCGCCACGTCTACCGCACCCTGACCAGCCATTGTTAACAGCATTTGTTCCAGGACGTGCAACAGAGGAATGACGTCGTTCATCCCATAGTCCTGCCGACTCACGAATAGCGTGGCCTCCTCAAAGGGCCTGAGCAAGCGGCAGTGTGTCACGCATGAGCTGCCAATGGCTGACATCTAAGTTACACAGGGGAGTACCTTTATCCGCTTGTAACATCAGGAAATCGGTGATGGCCTTTCGCTGTTCGTAAAGGCGGTCTAACATATGTAGGGTGAATTCCACCTTGTTGCAACGTCGCAGATCAGGCGATGCTGTGGAATTCCGTTCTGCCGCTGCAGCTCAAGGAGGGTGTGCTTTGCGGTGTAGGAATGGCTGAAATGCATGCAAAGTTTACGTGACATTTTAAGGATGTCTTGCAGTGGGATGGTGGATTTTAGGAACCGCTTGACAACCAGATTGAACACGTGAGCCATGCATGGCGCATGGCACAACCTTCCTTGACGCAGAGCAGACACCATGTTCTTTCCGTTGTCGGTCAACATGGTTCCGATTTTCAGTTTGCGCGGAGACAGCCATCTGTCGATTTCTCTGTTCATTACACTCAGAAGTTCCTCCCCTGTGTGACTACGTTCGCCAAGGCATACCAGGTGCAGCACAGCGTGACACCGTTGCGCCCTGCACATGTGATATGCCGGTCGGGTAATGGGACTTGGCACGGGGGTGGCGGCTGAGGACACGGCGGAAGAAGAGGTGGTAGAGGCGGACATCTTTGCTGGACCAAGGACGTGCAAACGTGGAGGCAAAAGCGGCGTGACCTGTCCAAGTTGCTGGTGCGGCTGTGCCGGCACCACGTTCACCCAGTGGGCCGTAAATGACATGTACTGTCCCTGACCGTAGTTACAGCTCCACACGTCGGCGCTGCCGTGCACTTTGGCAGAGACCGACATGCTCAAAGACTGGCCCACCATCTCTTCTACATGTGAATGCAGGGCTGGCACTGCCTTTTTGGCGAAGAAATGCCGGCTTGGCACTCTCCACCGCGGCTCGGCACAAGCCATCATTTCTCGGAAAGGTGCTGAGTCCACCACTTGGAAAGGGAGGGACTGCAGCACCAGCAACTTGGACAGGAGGACGTTCAGCTTCTGCACCGTCGGGTGCGTGCTCGCAAACTGTTGTCTCTTGGAAACGGATTCCAAGAAAGACTGCTGACGGAATCCGTGAAGAGGAGTAGCAGGAGAAGGAGCATCTGAACGAGCGGAAGATGCCAACGAGCGACAACCCCCTCAGCAGGTGTTGGAGCCTTGACTGGCTGATAGAGGGCGATTGACGTCGGGTGACGGAGCAAGTAACGGAGCGGGTGATGGAGCGGGGGCTGGGGCAGGCAGAACCGCCGTATCTTTATCACGGTTTTCCCAGGCCACCGAATGGCGACGCTGCATATGCTGACGCAACGCTGTAGTCCCAACATTGGCCCCCTGGCCACGCTTGACTTTCTGGCCACATATAGTCGACATACGGCTACGTTTACTTCCTCGGGCGGCTTGACGAAAAATTGCCACACCGCCGAGTAGGAAACTTTGCCCCCGCTACTCCTCACTGGCTGACTGCTACTTCCTCCGTGCACACCGGCACCACTACTGGCCGTGGTGGTAGGCTGCAGTGGAGCTGGTGCTCTACTCCGTGGCCGTTTGGCTCCACTGACACTGCTGCTGCGACCCTGCTGCCTCCTGGGCAACCCACCGACTGTTTTGCTCGCTGGCAAGCTGGCACCCTCTTCTCCTGATGATGCGGAAGCAATAGCCTGATGACGACGAGGCTGCCAAGTGCGATCAGCCTCATCATCATCAATTAGGGGTCTCCGCGTCACTACTAGCCCCCTCGGCTGCGTGTGGGTCAGGAGACAGACCTGTCTCTAGACCGGCTACCGAGCCACTCTCCTCGCCAGTACTTCTTCGCCTGGCTGCTGAAGAGGCGGATGTCTCCCCCCGTTCCTGACCGCCCTCTGTTAGCTCTTCCTCACTGTACAGTGGGGCTGAGCCCACAGCATGCGATACTTCGCTTGGTGAGGGAACACCAAAGGACAGGGGCAGGTCGAGGACACGTGATTTCAGTGGGCTTGCTCCCGGGCCATGCCAACTAACGGTTGTGTCTGACGTACCCACCGACCGTTGGCTGTAGGTGTCAGAGGTGACCTGGGAAGAGGAAGACGACCGAGTCAACCAATCGATGACGGCAGGGTTGTCGGTGGAGACACGACCGCTGGATGACACCGGGAGCACTGGCCTCTGGCTGCGACTAGTGCTGCCTCGACCCCTTCCTCTGCTGCCACGTCTGCTCGCTCCTGAAACATTGCCTCCTCTGCCACTCCTCTGCGTGTTGTCTGACATACTCTTTAATTCAATAAGCACCCCAAAAATAAAAACGGATTTAACTCTTTGAACGTACAATAGTGGTTGTGAAGCAGAAAGTCAGTTTTATTTAGCACAATCGGTCAATTGCAGCTTGCCGTTGGCTGTAAACTGTACGTTTATGTCACTGGAATGCACTAATCACCCAAAAAATATTACCGCCACCCGGCGTGTATATGGATTTAACTCTTTGAACGTACAATAGTGGTTGTGAAGCAGAAAGTCAGTTTATTTAGCACAATCGGTCAATTGCAGCTTGCCGTTGGCTGGAAACTGTACGTTTATGTCACTGGAATGCACTAATCACCCAAAAAATATTACCGCCGCCAGCCGGCGTGTAAATGGATTTAACTCTTTGAACGTACAATAGTGGTTGTGAAGCAGAAAGTCAGTTTATTTAGCACAATCGGTCAATTGCAGCTTGCCGTTGGCTGGAAACTGTACGTTTATGTCACTGGAATGCACTAATCACCCAAAAAATATTACCGCCACCCGGCGTGTAAATGGATTTAACTCTTTGAACGTACAATAGTGGTTGTGAAGCAGAAAGTCAGTTTATTTACACAATCGGTCAATTGCAGCTTGCCGTTGGCTGGAAACTGTACGTTTATGTCACTGGAATGCACTAATCACCCAAAAAATATTACCGCCACCCGGCGTGTAAATGGATTTAACTCTTTGAACGTACAATAGTGGTTGTGAAGCAGAAAGTCAGTTTATTTAGCACAATCGGTCAATTGCAGCTTGCCGTTGGCTGGAAACTGTACGTTTATGTCACTGGAATGCACTAATCACCCAAAAAATATTACCGCCACCCGGCGTGTAAATGGATTTAACTCTTTGAACGTACAATAGTGGTTGTGAAGCAGAAAGTCAGTTTATTTAGCACAATCGGTCAATTGCAGCTTGCCGTTGGCTGGAAACTGTACGTTTATGTCACTGGAATGCACTAATCACCCAAAAAATATTACCGCCACCCGGCGTGTAAATGGATTTAACTCTTTGAACGTACAATAGTGGTTGTGAAGCAGAAAGTCAGTTTATTTAGCACAATCGGTCAATTGCAGCTTGCCGTTGGCTGGAAACTGTACGTTTATGTCACTGGAATGCACTAATCACCCAAAAAATATTACCGCCACCCGGCGTGTAAATGGATTTAACTCTTTGAACGTACAATAGTGGTTGTGAAGCAGAAAGTCAGTTTATTTAGCACAATCGGTCAATTGCAGCTTGCCGTTGGCTGGAAACTGTACGTTTATGTCACTGGAATGCACTAATCACCCAAAAAAAATATTACCGCCACCCGGCGTGTAAATGGATTTAACTCTTTGAACGTACAATAGTGGTTGTGAAGCAGAAAGTCAGTTTATTTAGCACAATCGGTCAATTGCAGCTTGCCGTTGGCTGGAAACTGTACGTTTATGTCACTGGAATGCACTAATCACCCAAAAAAAATATTACCGCCACCCGGCGTGTAAATGGATTTAACTCTTTGAACGTACAATAGTGGTTGTGAAGCAGAAAGTCAGTTTTTTTGCACAATCGGTCAATTGCAGCTTGCCGTTGGCTGGAAACTGTACGTTTATGTCACTGGAATGCACTAATCA